TGTGTGAAGTTGTTTTTTCATAACCTGTGTGTAGTGTACACTCTCCCATTTTTTCAAAATCCTGGATCAGCCGCTGATTGATGTAAAACTTGTGATATCATTGCAAACCTCATATTTTACTGGCTACAATGCTCATTTTCTTCACATTTACATCTTTGCTAACAGTCTTCTTTCCTGTAATTTTATCTGAGGTCCAAGATTATGTTCATTTCCATGTTTGCTGACTGTGACTGACTCCTCCAGGAGTGTTTCCGTGACATGAGTTCCTGGAAGAGTTGCCGCGCTTCCCCATCAAGCTGCTGCAGTGAAGGTCAATGCTCTGGCCGCCATAGCTGGGAAGTATCCCTACCTTGAAAGGTCACACAACGCAGCAACAGAAAGGATGCAATAAATGATACCCTTTTTCTAATTTGCCATGTTCATTGTTTCAATTAATTAAATGGTGTAACAATGTCAATAAGAGTTGCAGATATCCCACAGAAACGTATTGTTAATATGTCAGAAAATGAGTAAGTGTCAAAAAACATCATCTTGTTTCCACATCTTTGGTTTCATGGCTGAATGTTTGCAAATGTGGGCTGTCATCAATAATGTTCAAACAATATCAACATTTCACATAGCCGTGTCAGCTGTATTAGCAATTTCTTCACATAAAACAAGTCATCGAATTCTGCAGATTATATAGCAATGAATAATCACTCTTTGAACAAAATATCTTCAAATGACATTTTAGGTGTTGTAGTATCAGACGACATATTTGACTGATGGATTTGAACTTGTATATTTTTCAACTGCATCATTTCGGTAAAGATGCTAGTACGAACCCATGAAGGAATTATTTCATGGGATTCTGATCTCCCTAATGAAGTAATGTTGCTGAATAAAAGTATGTTTATTGTGTTAAAATATGGATTTTGGGATTGGGATTAATATTTTCCTACGTTCAGACGTATTGTAACATTGTATTTTAACATGCATTCAAGCAATAATGTAAAACTTAGCCTCTTCCTCTGTATTGGTTATCCATGAAATAAAAGTCACCTCCACACAGCTAAAACATTAGTACGTTAACATTATTCTAGTGCAGATTTGGAATTATTATTGATATTTGCTGCCAACTTTGAGCTGAATATCAGATTCAGAGCAAATCTCGATATCCCCAATATTCTTATCAAAAGATAAGTGATTGATATGTTCCATAGAATAATTCTGCCATTTTGGTTTCAGATTTGTCTGAGATGGGCTCAAATCCGCATCAAGAATGACTAGAGCCAGCCTTCATAGATATCAAGGACTTCCTGCATAGACAAGGTAAGGAAAGCATGAACTATTCGCTTCACATTTTTAAAAACAGGGTTGTGCACCCAACCGACTCCCCACCTCTCCAAAGTATATTCCCAAGGGAAGGGAAGTAACATGTTGATCAGTTGGCTTCATCTGGATAGTGTTGGCATACAGTATTACTTGCCTTCAATATTTTTTTATTAAATATGGAAGTATTAACATAAAATTCAGTGTGCAGTGTAGCGGATATACATGTAACAACAATAATAACTTTAAAGACAGCTAATTTAATCATGAACGCACAAAACACTGTAGGCACTGTAATTACATTGTTCAGCACAATAATTTAACACAAGCATCTTCCATAATATTTTTAGCCAATGAGGAAAGAGTAGTCTGTAAGTGAGCGTACATGGCCTCTTTCTTTCGCTTTATGGAAACATGAATACAAATACAAAATCCTTGTTTGCAAAGAGGCCCATAAAGCAATGTACCATCACATTGACTCAGGCTTATGAATAACTGAAGATGACGTCAATCATTGTTCAGGATGTCACAAAAAACGATTATGTGAGGAGCTTTTATGAGCTTTCTGATTGTAACAGAAGCGTATATTCATTGACACTTCTGACTGTTCCAGGCAAACAGAAGTACACGCTGTCCATCTAATGAGGGGGTCGATGCAGCTAAGACAGTTGCCTCCACCGTCAACGAAGAAACCAAAGAGCACGAGCATGTGCAAGTCTCCAACTACGTGGCTAAAGAAATAGGGCTGAAGAAATAACGTCACACCTGCTGCTGGTGTCACACAGAGACGGAAGGAAGCAGGACACAGTCAACTTTCTGAAGTCTTTCAATGAGATTGTTTTGAGAGATAGTAGAACCCTATGCACAGACATGTCACTTTAAAAGAATGAAATTCACAAGACAACACTGTGTTTCCGATACTATAGCTTCTGAAAGCCCTTGAAGCTATTGATTGAAGGAGGAGGAGAATGATGAACTATCAGCGTGACTGATTGATCCTCTAATGTCATGGGGGAAGTCGGTTGTGATAGTGCACTTATTCAAATGTCCGATTTATACTTTTATACAGATTCAATCTTGTAATATCACTTTCTGTATTTATCTCTCAGAATATGTGATGATACTATCTGTCTCTTGACAATACTCTTATCTGTTTTTCTGTCATGATGTTAGGGTATATTTGTTTCTGATTTCTCAGTGAGAGGGATCAAGTACCTCTAATTTTACATTTTTGCTGAATTATAATATACACCAGAGTTGCACTTTATTATCTTGACAACCACTTGATTCTTTCCCAGCTTTTCAACTGGTGGTCAGTTCAATCCCAGTCTGTGATATACGACACCTGACATGTTGTGATATGACAGACAGACAAAGCTGTGTTAACAAGGTACTTGTGGAGTACACGATGCAACTGAAGATGGAACATTGTGAAGATACAATGTGTCTTTATACATATCCAGAAGGGCACGGGGACAGTAAAGTCCTGGATGTGGAGTTATGGCCCTTGGTATGTAGCGACGGATACAGAAGAACAGAGAAACATTGTTGGTCCCATTTGTAGAAAGGTTATTTGCCCAGACTCTTGTCTTAATTGTTCCTGCTCTGACATTTTAACATGTTCTCCTTATCCAGGACAAGTTGATGTTATTTTGTTATTTTGATATGTTTACGACATACTCAGGGTTGAACACAATGCATAGTCAAATTGTTGCCTTGAATGGATTCAAGTTTGTTATTTGTATATTTTTGTGCCTTTGATAATACAGTAAAGATATACAAATAAATAATTGTATTGAAATCGAAACATATCTGCCAAATTTCCCTCAAGGTATCAAAAAACAATTTTGTTATGAATGTATTTTCAAAGCACTGCATCAATTCAACTGTCATACGCAACAGAGAGAAATGAAATGTATTTGTCTGAAACTAGGATTTTTGAACAACCTCAAACTATCAGGTAAGCAAACTTCATGTCACTTTAGAAAGAGTTTGCACTGAGATTAACTTTGACATTGTCTAATCAATAGTAATATGTGTATAACATTGTTGTCACTCATTATTAAAATTCACTGCAACTGTCATGCTTTGGGATTATCTTTTCTTATCAAATGTTGTCCTACATTGGTCAGATCTCTTTGTCATAGAACTGAGGCCAGGTTGTAGGTGCCTTGCATTAGACATGGTTACTACTCAACTTCTAAAAAAGAAACTGAATTAAATAAGTGTGGCTCCAGGGTAATAGATCCCAGGCAAGAGAGGCGACCAAGGGGTTCGGGCGGTCAGGCTCGCTGACTTGATTGATGCATGTCATCGTATTCCAGTTGAATAGATCGGTGCTCATGATGTCAGTCTTTGGTTGTATGGTCCAGACTCGATTATTTACAGACTGCTGTTATATAGGTGTACTATTGTGGTGTGTGACGTTAAACTACGAATAAACAAACACTCTCGGCTTTACTCCCACAATGCATGTGTGCGTTAAAATGGTAGAAAAGTCCAGCGCGTGTCAGGTTTTAAGAGGTTTGACCGCCATTGTGAAACTAGGAGCATGAGTGAAGTGGGGACAACCCAATAACCATAATCGGGGCCATCTGGGATTCGAACCCACAATCACAGCATCCTGGCACACATAAACGTTGCAAACACTCAGCCACAATTGTGCTCTACACTATTCTCTATTGTGAGGGCAGCATATCAAGAAACCAGGTGTTGATGTTATTCGAAATCCCTGAGGCACAGCCAACGCACCTGGATAGGGACCGTTTCCTCAACCTCCATGTCCACATGAAACCCGTCCTTACTCTGAGGGAGACCCTATAGAGGTGTCCTTGTCTCATGGGAGAAGTGACTTTGCAGTGGCATGTATGAGTGTTCGCTTGCAAGATGGTACGGACTCCACACTATATTGTGTAAGCGTCATGGTACTTGCTGCACTTTTCTGTCTGAGTAGGGTATACATGCTGATCTGCAGCATGGTATCTCACACGCACGCACGCACGCACGCACGCACGCACGCACGCACGCACGCACACACACACACACACACACACACACACACACACACACGCTCGCACACACACACACGGCGCGGCGTTGAACCCCATTTCACCACACCTCCCCTTGCCTGGTCAGGCCTTCTGACTGGGCTGATTGCTGCTCTCAAGTACCCCGTTGACGAGTATAGTTGCTTATATTTTCAGTCACTAGTTGGCATAATCTAGACTAAAACGCCATGACGAATGGCACGGGTTTGGTGCTGACGAACAAAGAAAGATAATCATGGCAAATCGGGAGTCGAACCCAGGTTTCTGGTACACCAGGGACACACATATGCAGAGCAAATTCCGGGCCTCAGATAACTGGGCCATCAGTGCCTCCTAACCCGATTATATGTTTTGTTATGTTCTCTAAACCGAAGTTGATTTTTCCCATTAGGCGACAGCAACAAATACATCTGTAGCCTCTAAAACAAACACACACCCTGAAGATCCGGGTTGGAATTGATCTGCAGAAAGCCACGTGTGTCCTAAGAGGCGACTAACGGGATCGGACTGTCAGTCATGCTGACTTGGTTGATGCATGTCATCTAACCAAATTGCGTAGATCCTTGTTCATGGTGCCACTCACTGGATTATCTGATGCACACTCCAGTGCGGAGTTCAACAACAAACAAACAGAAACAGCCGTACACAAAGACATGCTTCATTGTTATACACTTTGAGTGAAACTACAAACAATCAACATGAATGGGGAAACGGTCACATTCCGCGTCAAGTCCACAGCAAATGTACATCAGTGTCCAGAGGTTTAGGCCGTTTCACAACTTTCGATCTTCAAACTCTTGTGTCTTGGAGAATCTGAAATATAAACAACATATCAAATATGCAACATTTATGACAACTAGAAAATGGGATATTGATCAACCGATAATTGAATGTAAAAACTCAAATTTGAATCGTTCTACGATAGACGTGAATTTTGCCATCAGCACGGGTTTGGTGCTGACAAACTAAGGTACATAATCAGAACGAACGGGGATTCGAGACCCATAGTTAAAGGTTTCTGGCACACAGCGGAACACATCTGCATAGCGACTTCCAACGGCCACCTGTGTCCCTCTTACCCGATTATATGTAAGTCACTTCGTTATAAGCGTAGTTAATTCATTCCATTTGACGACAGCAGTTAATACATCGGTAGGCCCTAGAAACAAACAAACCCCAAGTGTAGATCCGGAATAGAATGGATCTTCAGCAGACCATGCTTGTCGTAAAAGGCGACGGGTGGTTAGGCTCGCTGACTGCAATCACTGGATTGTCTGGTCGCATGCGGCGTTAAACAACAAACAAGCAAACAATTAAACAAACATAACATAGAAATGCATCATTAGTGTAAGCTTTGATCAAAACTACAAACAATGAGCATGGAAGGGGAAACAATCACATTCCTCGAGATACCATTCACATCGTCAAGTCCACACAAGTGAACATCAGTGTCCAAAGGTTAAGCCATTTAACAAATTTCGAACTTCAAGCTCATATGTCTTGGAGATATTAAAATATCTACACAATGTTAACCATATAGCAATGACTACAAGAGAAGGGGACTTTGATCAACAGATAACTGAATTAATATATTGAACATTTGAAACCTCGTCGTTCTACAGTGCATGTGAAATAACTGCTGAACATGGCCCATAATGTCTAAACAAACAATTTACTGTCATGTCCCCTTCAGTCCCGAACTCAATCCATATACATTGTCCATATATGTATACCTCTGGGAAAATGTTAAGCATGTTAAGTGTCCCATAACAATAGTTATATGACTACCCATTCACCCTTCTGCTTCTCCGTACGAATCATCATGCAGTCATCTGGAGAAGCATGCATTGCATTGTCCTATAAGCAGATATCAGCATCAAAAGGTGATCAATATCACATTATGAGTACATTCTAAACATGGAGATCTATCAAACTGATGTAACGAACTAAATCCAAGCAGTCCACAATTCATTTCAAATTAATTGTTTGTATAATATCAACAGCCCTTACAATCTATCACTAGTCTCGGACCAGCCGACAAGTGGCCATGTCGACCCGACATAACTCCCAACCAATCACTCGTTAACACGAGTATTTCATCACCTGATATTAAAGGGTTCCACTGTACCGTACTGTAAGTCTATACTTTATATGTAACTGTTCACATTATTATATATGATTTGATGTCTGATTGTAGACACAATATTAAATATACGAGTCAGATTATTATAATAATGTAAACGGTCGGAATGATACCAACAAATTATTCTTATAAAGGGTATACTATAAGTTTACTAAATCATATTACCTTTGCAGCAACACCTGTACATTCTAAAGGACAAGATGGTTGTTGAGTTGAATAGAATTAATGTTAAAATGTCAATATTATCAATTTGAGTGATTATTGGAAACAGTTCAACAACAAAAGTCTTTTACTTAATCAAGCTATTCACATGTTAATATAAGGAATATATAACATGGTTTTGTACAGCAAACACGATATACGATTGACATATTTCTTAAATGTGCATAGTCAACATTTATGAATGATAAGAAAAGCGAGAGTACAAATAATAAATAAAGCAGAGAGATTAAGGGCGACAAATGTTGGAGTTAGTGTATACAACAAACGGAAGTTGACAGAATTGATTATTGAAGGCACACATCCTCTTTCATCACTTCACACACATTCACTCATGATGTCATCTCAATGTTATTGACGTGTGAACATTCAAAATTAGAGGAAGACATTCTATGTGTCATGAATACTCACAATGACTGCAGTTGGTGGTTTAGTAATTGTACATGAATTGTCTTACCTACTCCTAAATTATTAGAGTAGTTGACAAATATCATAATGGAGACGTGCATGTCTCAGATCCTTTTTTCTGATAGTAGACTGTTTCTCTACTGCACTCAAACTGCATATGTAATCACACAAATATATTTTTCGAAAATAAAGAATAGTACAGACGTATATGTATGGCACATTAATTTAAACAAAACATCGCAAATGATGTATTTCATATATTTTTGTAAACAAAGAGGCTTTCTACAAGAAAAAATAGTGTTTTAGTATAAAAGATGAGGGGGATAAAACTAATGAAACAAAAATAAACAATATATGCAAAAACAAATATGGGCATACTTTATACAGGTGGGCGCGGGAATAACATGAATGTCCGCCGATTTAATCTTCTGGGGGCGAGCCTGTACCAATAAAAATTGTCCGGGGGAGGGTCGGGGGGAGGTGGTCGCTGTGTGGTGGTGGGTGTTATTTTGCCATTCGGGGACAGAAAGTGCTAATGTGTCGTTTCTCAAAACCAGTTGCGGTTTTCTAAGATTAGATGTGACATACTGTTTCCGGTTCTAAATTCAATACAGGGATAAATGTACAAATAACACATCTCTACACTGTAAACACGGCATGTGCATACTGAAATTAAATTCTTTCCCAAATACAGGGTGTCGTTCAACTCACCTGCATCAGCACCTGTAGTTGGTGGATCAGAAGGGAAACGGTAGCCTCCATTAACAAGGTCGAGGGAAAACCCATATACAGCAAATCTGCTGGCAGAGCGGACGAAGTAACTGCCGAATGAACATTTTCTTCCCGCTTTGTAATCACTGCCGGGGATGTCCACCCAGTCCAGTGTAACAGGGGCCATATCACCAGTAAATATTTCAATATCCGTTACGTGTTGTTTAGTCAGGATGTTTATACAGGTTGTATAAGGAATCGATGCACTGTTCACGAAATACGTAACTGGAACTACAACAACAAACCCAGTATAATATACATGTGGGTCGTTTCTACACAGGGTTGCCATGACAGGCCTTGTGGCATTAAGATATAGACCCTCATTATAGGCGAGGTATTGGCGATATACACGGCTGTCACCCAGAGAGAATGTAGATCCATTGTTCAACATAATTTCAGTGTCGCTCTGGTCACTAATAACTTGGAGCTGGTATGTCGCGTTCCTATAATAGGGGTCGTCACCTGTAAACATAACATACTCCGTCCCATGATGTCGTACAGGTAATAGTTGCGTCACGGCCGTGACAAGATTTTCTTCCATTTCCCCACTGAACACAGCTACAGTGTTTGTTGAGTTGATTACAGTTCCAGTCAGGTCATAGTCACTCTTCATCGTGAAGGTCTGATACTCATCTAGAGTCACATGAATCGTGTCTCCGTCGTTGTAGGTCATGTTGTCATAGGTGACGTTCCCCTCCAGCATCAGCGTGATGTCCACGTCTATCTTGTGGTTGTGGTTAGCTATCACTAACACCACGTGGCCAATGTCTCCCAGACAGGTGGATACTACATACCTGAAACCTAGGGCAGAGATCGGGAGGGGTGAAAAGATGCCATATCCACAGAGTCCGTGAACGCCCATGTCCTCAACAAAGACGTGGATTGTGAAAGCCTTGTTTTCCACACCCACCGTCAGCAACAATAATGGATCTATGACAACCGAAGTGTACCCGTATGGTGTTACAGTCCTTGTGACGTTATATCCCAGCTGTGGATAATCAACCAGAAAAGATCCCCCTGTTTCCCCAGCTGCCACTGTAACTGCATAACTACACGTCCAGTAATAACGAATGTATACCAGGAGGTAGCTCACATCTGGAAAAAGTATATACAGTTTGTTAGTAGTGTTTTAGAATGGATAACAACGGTACAAGCTAGCTTCTGACAATTGATAGTTTCAACGTATCACTCGACTAAGCATTGTGTGCCTGGGGTTGACATACATGACTGTGATGTTACAAACCAAATATGTGTTATTGTGACAGCTGTCCAAAGTCATTAAATCCATCGCCAAAGGACAATAGTCACTCTATCATGATTTCTTTTATATATAAAAGACACTCATCGATCTAGTTCCAAATAACAACATCGATGAAAATAGATATAACGTGAGCACAAGCAAATTACACGTTATTTTACACACTTAGAAAAATCAAGTCGGCCTGTAAATATACGATCTGACAAACAACTACAACAGCAGCGTGAATAACAGCCGACTCGCGCGTTCATTGTCAATCGCAGCGTTTAGTTCATCACTTCCTCAGTAAGTCACAGTGACGGTGTAACTATAGGGCATTCTGAACATTCCCACGCTGAATGTAGTTGTCACTCGTTTGGATTGACTATGTGTTTTACAGCCATACAGTTGGTCGTTATATGACTGTCAGTATAAAAATGTTGTCACATCTGCCGAATGGAAGTGTAGGAAAAAGTTAATATAAAATCAAAATTACGTGCATGTGTGCTGCTGTGGATATGAATACGTCACAGTGGGGTTAGCGATGTCCTCATAATAATAGAGTCGCCATTTCGAAAGAAATGTTGAGCACCACCCCTACTTTATGTTCCTATACCCCGAACTTCCTTGTATCTCTGTACATGTAACGTTGATGTCTGATTATTGTCTAAGATACCACTGATATCTGTTGAAAATTTGGCAGAATAGTGTGTGTTTCTCAAGATCGTCACGAGTTCTGAGTCATATGATATGATGCAAAGCTTTAGAAGGGTATTCAAAAATCTATTGCTATGCATCTCATAATGGAAACAAAAACAAGTATGTCCAGTGATTTTAATTACATTTCATTTCATATTGAATGTACTGACTCCGAGCCGACCATTCTCTGTTTTATCCCCATCATGCCGAGCTCAAGGCAAGGAAACAACACGTACCATCCTTCAAGTACCGTGATAAGGTTTGACGCGACCAGGGGATGGAACCGCCGAACTTTTGCTCTCCGGGCAAACGCTATAACCCCTACACCACGGAGACGGACGCACCCCAGAGCACACTAGATAAGACACCAAACCGACATCTACCATGAAAGTTGACAACATAACCAAAACCATAACCAGCAAAACGGTAATCCATAAACTGTGACCAAAGACAATGTATACAATTAAACAAAACTCAAATGATAGATGTTTTCAGATATTATTAACCATTTTATATTTTATGAGTCTTTTAATATTATATTTTAGGATTACAACTTTGAAATACATGTTTGTTTTTCCTTATATTGTATATACTTGTATCACATCGGGCTTTCCTCCAACATCAAGCTGACATGCCATGATATAACTGAAATACTGCTCAAAGCGGCTTTAAAGAAATCTCGCATACTCAAAGAAGCTATGTCTATACTTATACCCTCGGGGTATTCTTGTCCGCCGGTCCGGGTGTTGTTAGATACGGGTGTGGGTAGTGTCGTTTCACCTGCGGCAGTTGAGGCCGGGGTTTGTGTCGTCGGAGTTGCTGAACCTAAACAGAAACTTGATCTCAGATAGTCTTTTCACAGTTGCTAGAGCGTGGTTTCTAATCACATAACATTCTTCTTAACATGAAAACAGCTTATATCAATGTCCCATAGTTGCGTATAAATTTCAACATAGTTCAGAAAAGTTATGCCATGTCTGATTCATGCATGTGGAATATATATAATCCCTAAAATTACATACTTTGTAAAGATTGTTTTAGAGCTACACTTCTACCTGAAATGTCCCAAATTCACAGAGAACTACCTGGGACTCACATAGTGGTAGTGGTATGTAATAAGATGTCCTTCTCTGCAATCATACAGAATGGAGAATGACAGGCACCACGTGACTAGGCCCTGGTTACTTTGACACAGTGGAACTCAGGCTTACAGTAGAGGACATAACAACATGTACAGACAAACGTTCCCATTGTCCTCTCCATGCCCCGCGTATTAACCTTGAAGTTCAAAACTACCCAGAGAGGAGTTAAATCAACTACTTAGAATAACAGATGTGCTTGAAAGGAATTTGATAGTGGAGGCATGTCCATGAATAAGTGTCCAGTTGAAAAGATAGAGAAGGAAAGAAATGTTCACTGTATCAGGTCCTGTGGAGTTTAATTTCTGTTTTGGAAAAGAGATAGAGCAAAAAACTAAATTGGACTCTCTGTACGGGAAAAGAAATAAGCTTTCGAATTATCTACCTCAAAAGCTTTGATTCGAATTAAATCCTGACACCGAAAGCCAGCGTCACTGGTTTTGTTGCTCGCTATGGCTCTGTTCGTGATTCAATTGTCGGGCCCTTGAAAAAATTAATGATGAAATAAATAAGATACAGCAACCAAAATCAAATGTCCGGAAACGAATGGAGAACCATAGTGATCTTAATTGAGAAAAGAGCCAAAACTCCAAAAGGAAGGTTTGTGTATTGGCAAGAGCCATTCCGAGATGTCAGTTGGAGTGAACTGTCAGTCTCGGAGCTCCGTGACTTCTTACAAACTTCTGGAGATGGCAAGCAAACATAACTGATATTTGTACGTCTGTTTATGTGTTTAGGACATGTGATATGCTTGTGTTTAAGTTTAGCATGATGCAATATATTATTAATTTCTTCCTGAAAATACATATTTTACCTCGGTGCAACATTTTGTTTATGAAGTGTGTTAGCTGATATTTCGGCTTGTAAGGTGCTTGTATAATTGTCTTGTGCATAAGGAACAATGAACAGGTTATATCGCAAAATATACTTGAAATGATTTACATACTTTACATAATATTCCAATAGTACATCAATATAGGATGAGAATATTAAAGTATTACATACCAAATTATACATTCATATGCATTCACATAATACAAAACAATGTTGTTTTAGTTATCCACACAAACTGCAATGTATACTATCTACACAGAATTTATCTATACGTGAGCTCGAACGTTCAATGTACAGCACTGGGGTCGTGCTATAATTGAAAACACTAATTAACTTTGGCTAATTAACCTCAATTACTACTGCAGGAGTAATCGCTGATTACTACAAGATAATATTATCAATGCATTATTTGGTCTTTATCGTTGTGCATGAGTAAGGTTCCATGTATCCTTTGTCGTTACACTGATCACAAGCATGTGTATTGCAAAAAACTGTTTTAAACGTGTCCTGAACAAACTCAAATTATGTTGATGATGAAACGTTAACGTCAGAGAATAGTCCCTCTTGTTTACCCCCCGAATCAGATTCAACTGGGCGAAAAAGGCAAAATAGTTGTAACAATTATGTGAATGTATCACAGCAAATCAGGTATGACACAAGGTGTGAGCGAACAAGGGTCAGCATGTCCTGCTCTACCGGTCACGCCTAGCCAGTCTTTGTTAAACATTGTCTTGATTACAATAATAGCTAATTGTTATATCAAGCGGGCATCAACCCCAAACATGTGTTGTTATACCTAATTCTTTCTTCATAACAAACCCAGTTAAAGTAAAAGATCAGTTGACACCGTGGAAACAATGTACTTGTGGATAGCTATTCAAGGAATATGTATAAAACAGGGTTGTTAAATCAGGGAATATGTATACTCACTGAAACGTTTAGGGAATATCCCTGCGTGAATCAGACATTACATATTTAATGTAGCATATACACTACATTCAAACATCATCGGTGAATACATTGGAAATATTCCGTGCAGTCGTTGTTTTCAACCAAGAAATCAAGCGACGGCTAGAGGGCAACAACGAGTACTCAGACCAACAAGCACTCAGAATACGTCACATAATAGGAAATATTTCCCTCTTGACACAATGTGCAACGTAGGCCATAGTCTTCTCTTTAAATTGCTTCAATGTCAGACAACAGTAGGGTTTGCGCAAAGTTTACAGTGTAGGGCTCATTTGACTTTAAACAGCCTCATTTACTTTAAACTGACAAAACAAATAGACACACGCAACTACTACACCGCATACCGGTGCAGCGTATACACAGCATATTATCGGCTCATCTTACAATAAAATACTAGCTTCTGATTAGTTAAGGAGCAGGGCATTATTGTCCATGTAGCCTACTCATGTAACCCGCTCTTATACCCCGCTGAGAAATCAATCGTTACATACCTTAGGTAACTTCCTTATCTCACATCAGTATCATTGAGCTAAAATGATCCGATGTTTATCTGAAGGCATTGGGTAAATGGTTGTAAGAGTTTTACTGAGTGAAACTTTGGACATGTATTCGTGGTCTGTATGAACGAATGTCGGTGAGATCAATTCGTTGTCAACCAATCCCTTTGGGCATGTGGTGTGATGTACCCTGTGTGAGAGCCTATGTACCTGAGGACTGGGTACACAGTCTCATACACAGGGTACATCATACCTGACGGCTCGGTGTACATTGGCTCACACACCGGGTACATCACACCTGACGGCTCGGGGTACATATGCTCTCACACAGTGTACATCACACCTGACGGCTAGGGGCGCATTGGCTCACACACCGGGTACATCACACCTGACGGCTCGGGGTACATAGGCTCTCACACCGGGTACATCACACCTGACGGCTCGGGGTACATAGGCTCACACACAGGGTACATCACACCTGACGGCTCGGGGTACATAGGCTCACACACCGGGTACATCACACCTGACGGCTCGGGGTACATAGGCTCTCACACCGGGTACATCACACCTGACGGCTCGGGGTACATAGGCTCACACACAGGGTACATCACACCTGACGGCTAGGGGCGCATTGGCTCACACACCGGGTACATCACACCTGACGGCTCGGGGTACATAGGCTCACACACAGGGTACATCTCACCTGGCGGCTCGGGGTACATAGGCTCACACACCGGGTACATCACACCTGACGGCTCTGGGTACATAGGATCTCACACAGGGTACATAACACCTGACGGCTCGGGGTACATAGGCTCACACACAGGGTACATCACACCTGACGGCTCGGGGTACATAGGCTCACACACAGGGTACATCACACCTGACGGCTCGGGGTAAATAGGCTCTCACACAGTGTACATCACACCTGGCGGCTCGGGGTACATAGGCTCACACACAGGGTACATCACACCTGACGGCTCGGGGTACATAGGCTCACACACAGGGTACATCACACCTGACGGCTCGGGGTACATAGGCTCACACACCGGGTACATCACACCTGACGGCTAGGGGCGCATTGGCTCACACACCGGGTACATCACACCTGACGGCTAGGGGCGCATTGGCTCACACACAAGGTACATCACACCTGACGGCTAGGGGCGCATTGGCTCACACACCGGGTACATCACACCTGACGGCTCGGGGTACATAGGCTCTCACACCGGGTACATAACACCTGGCGGCTCGGGGTACATAGGCTCTCACACAGAGGGTACATCATTCCTGACGGCTCGGTGTACATTGGCTCACACACCGGGTACATCACACCTGACGGCTCGGGGTACATAGGCTCACACACAAGGTACATCACACCTGACGGCTCGGGGTACATAGGCTCACACACAAGGTACATCACACCTGACGGCTCGGGGTACATAGGCTCACACACAGGGTACATCACACCTGACGGCTCGGGGTACATAGGCTCACACATAGGGTACATCACACCTGACGGCTCGGGGTACATAGGCTCACACACAGGGTACATCTCACCTGACGGCTCGGGGTACATAGGCTCTCACACAGGGTACATCACACCTGACGGCTCGGGGTACATAGGCTCTCACACAGGGTACATCACACCTGACGGCTCGGGGTACATAGGCTCACACACAGGGTACATCACACCTGACGGCTCGGGGTACATAGGCTCACACACAGGGTACATCACACCTGACGGCTCGGGGTACATAGGCTCACACACAAGGTACATCACACCTGACGGCTCGGGGTACATAGGCTCACACACAGGGTACATCACACCTGACGGCTCGGGGTACATAGGCTCTCACACAGGGTACATCACACCTGACGGCTCGGGGTACATAGGCTCACACACAAGGTACATCACACCTGGCGGCTCGGTGTACATTGGCTCACACACAGGGTACTTAACACCAGGCGGCTCGGGGTGCATAGGCTCACACACAGGGTACATCACACTTGACGGCTTGGGGTGCCGTCAGGTGTGATGTACCCTATGTTTGAGCACATACCCCCCAAGATTGGTTGACAACTTATAGAGTAGGTATTCAAAGCAATAGTGTTCGAGGGGAAAACCAATAGGGGAATCAAACATGCCTGAAGTGTGGACAGACAACGATATGACCACAAGGCTACCTTACCACTCTTTTGACATAGGAAAACCTATGGGAAAACATGTACCAGCAGCTCACAGTAACTTCTATACAAAATCAGATATTTTGCACACGTCGGTGCGAAGTTCAGTGAGGATATGCCTGATAACCCCACAGATACGATAAACTCTTTCCAGGGGACTGTTGGTAAAGTGATGCTTAAGCCAACCAGAATGTTCTTA